TTTGCTTTTTAAACTGACAGTAACAGTCGGACAGCCAAAATACTGGATGTCAATACTACGCATGTATAAACTTATTTTTAATGAATAATAAATGTTGAACGTTAATGCATGGGTGTATCTTATGAAATTATCTTTAAAATAATTCATATTTGATAAAGTTAATTTTATACATGCCAACTACTTATACTACAGTAATTGGTTTACATAGCACCTCCCATAATAAATACAGAAGCCATGTACAAGCACTAGTTCTCTTAGCAGAAGCCATTTTACAGGTAGGAGTCCAGTTCTATTTTCTTTCCTTCTATTTGTTAGAAAATCATTCCCCATCAGATATTTTCAATTTTATATTATACACTATTAGAAAAAGTATATCTTTTGTACACACAAAGAAATTGAGAGGGCAAACACATATCATAGACTTATAACAATAAACATAATGATTGCTGTCTTCTCGTGAAAGATATTTCACAATCTTGCCACAAACATGATCTTTTCATTCTGGTAGTGAGTCTGGCCCTTGTTTTCTCTGCAAAAGTCCTCACCTTGTTCATATGCACATCCTGCTACATGGTCTGAGGATCTGTATCATAAACTCCTAGAGAAATGGTAATACTAATAAAAACAGCTGCATTGGCAGAAACTACGAGAAAGACTGGAAGAACAGAGTTGAAAAAGCACAGTACATCCCATAATGGGAAAAACCTGCAGATGCAGACACTACAAAATGTATGGTTCATGACTGTCGCAATTCATCTAGGTGTATTCAGAGTATAGCCATAGCAACAGTAGATAGCGTGGCGGAAATATTAAATATTACATGAAATTCAGATATTTCTGACCTTGTTTTATGTACTAATCACAAGACACTACATGGACACATTCATGGTAATGATTATATGTACCATCCTGTAGCAAAATTTAAAAGTGTCAGGTTGCAATTCATGGTAAGGTGAGGTATCGCCCACAAAAATTTACAATTGAAGCATATTACCATGACCTTGGTTAACATATTACAATAGAAGATGACAGGATATGTAATTTCGTTATAATCAGTAACGACAAGTCATAAAAATGTCAGAAGGTATTAGCTGCGATGATGAGCTTCAAGTACTTATAAATAGTTTACACACATCTATGGAAGAGAATGGATATGATGATTACCTCTTGACAGCATTGATACATACCTTGACACTGCAAGGCCAAACTCTACTGAGGAATATGGCAGTATTGTTACCTGAGGTGTGTGATGCATTCATTCAGTGCTTTAAATGAAGGGGAAAATACAAGCATCTCTGAAATAACTTACCTGCCAAAAAATTATTAACAAAATTTGTACCAATTTTTGGTAAACACGTGATCTGCAGTTGCCAACAATGTTCTCAAGGCATTATCCTTCACAGACCTGGTGTTGATCCTCTACTTACTGTCTCAAATACTCTATCACACTTTAAAAAGCACAGTTGCTGTATTCTTGATGCCTGTGGAAATGAAAGCAATGTAAAAAAGACGAGTGCATAAAGCAAGTATCAAATGAGGTTAACACTTTAATACATGTAGAATCCGATAGGTTGATACAACAAGATTGAAATACACCATTTGATATTGCATCTTTCGATCCAAACTCCTTTATTAATGGAATAAATGCTAAGCTATGAAATTTCATCATTAATATTACTAAAGGGAAATGGAACACTCCCATTACACACAACCAAAACCAAAAGTTGTCACAAATCTACAGCTTATGTGTGTTGATGTTTTGTACAAACAGTAATTGTTCCATGCCCTTACACATATTACTCACAGATATAATAGACTCTCTCAGTGGTTTGAACGAATTAATTCAAATACTAAAAAATATTGGAGCTCTTGCATCAACAAATAGCCACAAATGCTACGTGCAACATTAAATTGAGAGATGTTTAGAGAAAGGTCTAGCATCTAGCCTACAGAAAAACACATTTACAGTAGTTACGGTAGACTATATTGATAACTTGTGAAGTTCTACTTTAGTTTATTGCTAGATCAAAGCCATAGTTGGCACAGTACGACCATACAGGCAGTACAACCGCTTGTGTCCAATACATCTTTTCCATCCTGTACCTTCTCCTATAAAGAATATTTGTTGTCGCCAGTACAAAAAGTACAAGAGGAGAGGTAGATCACTTTCAGAAGCAGTCTTTAAATCATTTTCCTGTCACTACTCCAAAAGCACTATTCACAGAACAAAAACATCACCTTTTTCAGCAGCTTTGTGAAAATTAAAATCTTTCCTTAAAAATGCATCCCTTTGACTTTCAACCTACAGACAATTAAATGGATGCAATGTACACATTACAAAAGCTATGCTTCTCATATTAGGCATAAAAAATGATATGACAACTACAAACTTTTCAGATGGCAACGTATCACTTTCACTACAATCATTTTTGAAAGAAGAAGTATTGAGTGTAAAATTTCACTGTACACATACATTAATGTCTCAGATAAAAATGCTGATAACAGAGATACAATAGGAGATGTATTATCTTTCTTGTATGATGAATTTAAAGTTGAAGGATGAAGTTCAGCATTTAGCCGTAGAAGGAGACACAAAAACTTTTAGCCATTTACAAGATATTAAGTCAGAATATGGCAGTGCAATGAATCGGTTAATTCCTTTCATTGGAGACTGGCATATACTAAAGAATTTCAACTTGTTTTAATGAAAATATATTATGACACCGGTTTAATACAATTAGCCAGTTGTAGTGGTCACAAAGGTGAAACTATAAAAGCATTGCAAAACTGTTTCAAGTTTAAGCGAACACAGATTTTTTATGGAATCATGGAGGCAGTTTATGAGTATTTGTGCGAAGAATTTTTGAAAGCATACCCAGAATCCCAAGACATCTACAGTATTATGATTAATACTATTGATAACTAATGCAACTTAACCTTGATCTCTTAGACAACCACTTCAGAGCTTTCTACCAGTTTGTCTCAGATATGGCTAGCCACAACCCACACTGGTTTTTTGGGGAGAATTTGTCCTTTCTAATTGTTTTGGGTACATTTCATTGTTTCTTGCCACAATGTCCCCCAATTGGGACCTTCGACATGGTGCATTAAAAGTAATGTCACCAATTTTTGCTGCTTTTCATAGAACATACAGAAAGATACTACCTCAACACATAGCACACTGCCTCATTATGCCCACAAATATTCTAACATCTTTTAAAGAGGGTGGATTTTCAATCAGCATTCTAGGACATTCATGGCACTCAGTTGCCATTGATGAATGCCACAAGATGCTGATTAATAGAGACTGCAAAGACGCAATCTAACAACCAAAAAAAGACTTAATGAACAAATTTGCTTGGTATTTTCCTTACAGAAGCAGAAGTATCGGAAATGTGAGTGCATTAATTTCTAAAGGTACTGAAAGTGATAATGAAAAGTTGACAATTGACAAGAAAATGAATGAGAACATACAAGCTATACTTGAAACGATACGAAAAAAGCCACTTTTACTGACACAAAAGGTTGAATCACCAATGAGCTTTAGAAATAGCTTTACTGGTGTAACTGCTACAGCCGAACAGGAGCACCATGTACTAAACTTTCATGAAATTGGACATTGGACTAAAAGATTTT